AAGCATGAAGCATTGTTAAGGGAACTCTCATTTTTATTGAACAATAAAGAACTAGTTTAGCTTATTGATAACTCAAGCTTCCCACAGGCAATATAATCTTGATTGTCAAGATAGGTTTGGCTTCTTGTTGTTTTTTGTTGCTTTTTTTTGTCATTTGCTGTTGTTGTATATGAACATGTGTGTGTCTGCCTGTTATATTAAAGCTCTTGATTTCCATGTTACTGAATACACCACCCTTTTCACAGGGGCATGGTTCCTGGGTTGGGATTACCTCTAAATTCTAAGCTTCCAGATGTTAACAGAAGCAAAACCTAGGAAAGAAGAGTTCCCATATTTCCAAATGAAATGAGGCAGAACAAATGAAAGAGGATCCCTTGGCTTCTGCAGAGAACTGAAAGTGTGCATTACTAAGAGGTATAGCCATGTCTGTGCAAACACAGTAACTCATGTCAAATAAATTGTACTTTTTGCAGGAAAGAACTCTAGCTCAGGGTTTTCCAAGCTAAATTGCATGAAAACACACAATCCTTTTTCTTCTTATTTGAACTGTTAGATGACGGGGCCAAATTACCAAAAAGACCAAAGGCAGTTTGCAGCCTTTAACAACTGAAAGGACTTATTGCTTCCAATTTGGAAATACAAAAGATTCTGTGTCTACGCCAAACCCTCCCAGGTCCCATGCATTTCCCATTAGATCTGTGAAGAAAGCAAGCGCATCAGTAAAAAAAACTATATCAAAAGTCTCTTATATTTCAGAAATGGAGAATATGTTGTCCAAGATATGTAAGGAGTTACTTCCAACAGGACTTAAAATATATAGAGAGAAAATATTATACTTTTCTCTGGCCAAATGTGGTCCTGCTGTCCTTGGCTTCTTAGTGTCATTCAGTCCTGGACTAGCAGGAATTATTTTACAGATCCAATCAAAAGCCATTAAGTCTGTAAAGGTAGTCAAGCACTATTCTCCAGCTCCACACTGGAGAACCCAAGGGAGGTAATGCATCTATTTTTCAATACCTGAGGCCATTTTGTTTCCAACCTTAATTGCACTTATGTATTGGTTTGGGGTAAAATATCTCCACTTATCTTGCTCCTGTTTCCACTATTTCACTATTAATACAGAGCTTAGGAAACATAATTGCAGTGTGCAGTAGACAGCGATTTTCATTAACTACACAGAAGAAAACTGTTTAGGGAGAGACATTTCTTTCTTATTGATTCAATCAAAATGACTTGGAAGAAAAGGGTGTGCTTATTAAATTCTTTTCAAAAGGTAACTGTTAAAATTTAAAATCTTTTTCAACAGCATTTAAAAAACTGGTATATAATCTCTTCTGATTGTCATTTATGAATTTTTGTTCTGCCCAGTTCCTTTGAAATATGTAACTTTTATTGGCCTTAAAAAATAATAGCAAAAAAAAAAAAAAAAAAAAAGAAATAGAGAAGGGGAGATTTTTACTTGGAAGTAGAGAATGTAATCAACAATGCTCTCTGCAAGACATGGAGTTGCCTAGCAATGCTATGGGAATTAAAAGGGGGAAATAATAACAAAACAGAATGTTGTGAAGTTACAAGAGGGTGTACTGTTAAATCGGCTTGCAATACTTATCCAGAGGCCTTTAAATGAGAATGATATAATAAGATTTTCTAGCAATGGTATAAAAAATGTGGGTGATAGTTTTTCAATGTTCTTCCTTTCATTTAGAGCAGTTTACCCAATGGTATTTGCTATTTTGAGTTCATGATTAGGCAAAATCTAGGACAGACATTTGAGAATCAATCATAGGGCTCCTTGGAACCAGTTGGGCTAAATGAGTATAAGATACATCAACCTTTCATATTCTCCCATTGATGTGTAGGCTACTCTTTATGTAGTTGATTCTGTTCCCTTTGTTATGCTATCCCAAGTTTCAGAGTCCTCCTGTCAATTTTTCAAGCTGAGATCTGTGATGGTGAGACTACTATTGTTTCCAACTCAACTTCTCCCACAAACAAGTTTAATCATCCAGGTGCATCCTATATTCCAACTATGGAGCCTGAAGTCAGAAACCTGTCTGACCCTAAGACTCAATTGGTTTTCTTCTTTTTCTTTGATTATGTCAAATCTTTTCAAGAAGAAAACTGCTCCTGCAATCCTGGAAATGTCTCTACACCTTTGAATGGAATAAGTTTTTATCTAACAGTGCCAGAAACATGACACAGAATAAGGAATTGGCCCTTACAGAGATGGCAGAAACAGGAATAGAGATATCCCAATGAATACATGCAGCGCTACACCCTTGGAAGACTGAAACCCTAAACAGATTCATGATGGATCATGTACAGAAATCCAAATTTACATGAGGAAAAGTACTTGTGGGTGTTTTGATTAGGAAGAAGAACATACTAATTTGTAGGGAAAAGTTGTTTGTAGTGTCAAAAAATGTACCTGAAGTCAACACAAGCAACTGTGGCTTCTAGACACAGCTACACCAAGAACTAGTTATACCTTGTGGATCACAGAATTTTTAATGTATAAAATAGGACTGCTAGATTATCACTAGGATCTCTTGTAATTCTCAGAGTTGGATTCCAAGATTCTAAGCAAGCTGGGGTCTGAAGAACAATATCTCTAAGACAGGTACCTTTGTAAATTCCTCATACAACTCTAGTTTCAATCTGGAAATGAATGGGGGGATTGTGATAGGGCTTTTATCTTCAAACATTTGCATTTCTACTGCAATCCCAAATTAGCTCAAAACTGAATAATGATTAGCACTCTGTGTGTATATAAATAAGTATAAAATGTCTAGTTCTCTACCCTTTCCTTCACTGACTTCTAGGCAGAGACAGACTGTAACCTAAATATGATTTTTTTAATTGGTTGTTCAAAACATTATAAAGCTCTTGACATATCATCTTTCATACATTAGATTCAAGTTGGTTGATTTTGAACAGTTTTTCCTTGCTCTGGAACTCAGCCTACCCTGAGTTCCTTCTTCACTGGATACAGATGTTCTTCTCCCTTTCTCATGAAGAACTGTGTCTAGTTGCTTTTCCTTTTCATATCAGCCTTTCTCTTGAAACAGCTCCTCATCTCCCTGGCTTTGTTCTATACTGATGATTACCAAATGCATTCTTCTGTCTGCTCTGAAGTCTGCCAATTTCTACAACTGTTATCTCTCTTGAGATTCCATAAGCATTTGAAACTCAGATAGTCCAAACAATGATCTCAGATTTTTTTTCTTGCTGATGTAATTATTCCTATTAATTGCACTACTATTCTAGTAATAAGTTAAATTTTATTCCTCTACTGTCTTTATTCATTTGGTCAGCTGTAACATTCTATGTTATTAAATAGTCCTCTATCAACCAGATATCTACTTCTTACCATTATTCTAGAAACAGATCTCCTTTCTTCTCACCTGAGCTATCTGTGTCTAACTTCCTCATTCTTCTTACCATTCCAGACACTTCTGCCAAATTTAGCCTTTGAAGCACAGCTCCACCCATTATACTCTCACAGAACAATACAATCAATCTCTGCCACCACTAGCACGTCCATAAAATTAAATAAAGAACTCCTCACTCTGGCATTGGAGGCTTTCCATGCTATTAATTAAACTAAATTTTCTAGCTGTCAGCTGCTCTTCTCCTACATTAATTTTATATTTCAACCAAACCCAATTTCTTGCTGAACACACACTCAGTTTCCTCTCATTAGTTAATGTTTGTGGCCTTCAAACCACTGGAACTCTTCTCCCCACCGCACAGTGTAGCACCAGTTATGCCTGTTTGGATTCCTCATTCATCAATGTCCCTTTCAAATGCACTTTCACAACACCCTTCCTAACATTTCTGGTTAGATGTGATCTTTTCTTTTAATCCTCTGCAGAACCACATACCTCCATTCAGAAATTTATTTGCTTTACTCTTTCCATAGCTATAAAGTACACCTACAGGAGCTACATCTTGACTCTCTTTGAATACTCTGAAAGGCCTAGCCTCATACATTGGAACTTATTGGTATGTTGTTACTACATTGAGCTCACTTGAGGCTTTCTAATTATACTAAGGATTTCTGACTTATTCAAAGTCTAACATCTAGTGAGTTGACCAAATAGAACTAATAAAATCAATAATCTAGGGTGTGACTAGACTCTATCTATTTTGAAGAACCAAGGTTCAAAAGTATATATTATTTCTGCTACATATTAAGCTATAAAAAATATGAATTTGAAGGGTTTTAGTCAAGTGATCTTACACTAAGATACAGCACAAGCACTTAATTTACGGAAATCCTGGTTTCTCTGTATATAAGAAGGTAATAATTGCATTAGCCTAATAGGCTGTAATAAGGACTGAGTAATGCCCACCAAATGCTTAGATAAGGCCTAGTATATTGTGACTACTCAATAAACATAAACCAGTGTAATCATAATTCCATCATCATTATTTATCACTCAAACTATTAATAAAAATGGTTCTGAAAGTCTTTCATGTAAGAGATCCTGCTAGAATACAGTGATCTAATTTGGGATCCATCAATACACAGTAATCAAAAAATCTTCAAGAGTACTCCAAAGCCACCAACTGCGGAGAATAAAGTATACAAGAATAATATATAGGAGGAAGTATTAAAAGAAATTAAAATAATGGTACTTAAAATGTGTTTGATGAAAGATTTAATATTTGTCTCAAAATATTTAGAATTCAGAAAATGAAAACAGCAACTGAAGTTAATATTCCAAGAAGAATAATTTCCAAAGAGAATATTAACTTCCATCCAGTGTTAAATGCTGAAAGCTATATAGACCAAGAAAAATGCCTCTGCAGCATATTAGAATAGCTATCAAAGGAGCTGTGGAATCAACTACATCTTCAATGTCTGGGATAATGTTAATATAAACTCATTTAAATAAAGGATGTCAGGTGGTTTCTAGTCTTTCCCATACATAACACAGTGGGGGTGGGGGGGTGGGGAGCTGTCATGTAGTCAGCAGACTGCTCTGCACTCTTACCTGAACTCTCATCCAGGCTCTCCTCAGAGACATGCTCATTTTGATGGACCCACTCGCCATTGCACTTGAAGAATATCTGCATGGCTGGCCTTGCTTTGCACCTGAGTGCAATAGGGTTACTTTTGATGATGTAAGCATCATCTGGTTCCTCTATGAAATGAGGCAGTGTCCCTGGAGCTGATGGGATGGAATCAGGAAGAACTTCACCGTTGTCGGTTCCTATGAAATTGAAGAGAACATCAGAACACAGCTTAAATTGAAAGTTCATAAATGAGAACAAAATACTGAACTCACACCATCTTTAGGAACATAGGCTGGAAAACTCATCATGTTAGTATGATATGCCTGAAAGACTGGCATAGATGAAAATCTTCTAGAAGCTTAGCAAGCATAATATAGTACCTTCGGGTGTACAGACCTTGAGTCTGTTGGACAAATGAAAATAATGAATATGAGAACCCTAAAACTTGAGTTTTGAATCTGAGTGTTGTGGGATAAATATTTGTGGGGTTGGTCTGACCTCAAGTTCACTTTGGCAAGTCATCATCTCAGAAGAGTCAACAAAGACAGCAAACTGCCTCAAAATCTTTAAAAAAAAAATGAGGAGAATCGATATTGTCCTCCCACATCTGAGTGAACAGAGGTGATCATGGTGGAAGGTACTCAGTCAGAAGATAGCTCCCCAAATTAAAAACTGTTCCCCATTTTTTTTAAACCTATGAAACTGGATTATCTGGCATCCTACCTTAGATAACTCACCAACTAACTATCTCTTCAAAATGAATGTGGGTTCATTCTCCTTGCCTTCGGCCCACTCTCTGCCCCCAGCACTTCACCATGACACACTAGGAATTGCACTAATCAAGGCTGAGAATTAAAACACAGCAGTAAAATAGCTCTGACCATGTAGTTAGCAGCTATGATAACATCTGTTCAAAGGGAAGGCACAGATAGGGCTCTCCCTTAACCTCAGGGAAGTGATGAAGCATTATTAAAAAGAAAAAGCTAGAGCCAAGATTTTGCTTCCTGCCTCTTCTCTACATTCAGCAAGGACTTAAATCCTGGGAAACACCACAAGATCAGGGATACAGATGTGTGAGTGGTGAGCATCGAGGAGACAGCCAGGACAGGTATCCTGTGGCTTTCAAAAGCCATCCCACTAGAAGACTAAAGAAAGCAAAGATTTCAATACCAAGGTCAACTAAGCTGTTGGATAGGCCTTCAGACCAAACCACTGTTCAAACCTATAATGAGAAAAGTCACCTAGTGAACTACTTGAAAAACAATTACACCCACCAGATCCAACTCCCAGGAGAGAGCCTGTGACCCAGCTTGGCTTTCTGCATGCCATCAATTACATTTGGGATGGAATGTCTTATCATTCACACTTAAGTCAACAACTTAAATTAGAAAGCATTGTCAAAGGTAATTCATTAATTTTAGGGGTAATGTTCTACTTTAAGAACATTTAGGAAAAATTCTCAATTACTAAGAAACAGGGAGAGCAGGGGCTTTAACAGGTATTTTATATAACGAAGAAAATAAAAGACACTGAGTTTTAAAAACAAGTCTCCTTACCACAGGGAACACACAAGCAAGATTTGCTACTGCAATGAATTAAACATAATAATAGCTTGATTGTCCCAAACAAGATTTTCTCCCTATTAAATACATGTTAAGGGGAAAAAACAACCTCAAATAACAAAAGAGCTTAAGGGATTATAAGCCTTCCATTTGCAATGGAAAAAAATAACTCATGTGTAAGCAATTGGAAGCATCAAAAAATCATTATAAAGCAAGTACTCTCAAAGCTAAGGACAAAGAGTTTATTTTATGAAATTACAATAAAGTCACTCAGAAAATAAAATGTGTATAGGTCATAGGGAGTAAGAGCGATTTCATCATAGAATTATAGGGGGGTGTTTTAATACATTAAATTTATTTACAATGGACTTTGTAAAATATTTATTAATTTATTTTACTACTGATGCTCATGCCAATTTCCACCTTCAATAAATACCAAGTCCCTGCAGGATTTTGTAAACCCATGCATTAGAGGAAATGACAAAGGTATTAAAAGATTTTATATGGGCATCAAATGCTCACACACCCACCAGGGGCTTGAGCTATGGCCAAAGTAATTCATTGTTGCATTAAAGGGTCACCTGATAAAGCATACACAGCATATCCAAACCTAGAGAGCTAGCCTGAGTGAGCAGACATACATTTTGATAGATGCATTTTTGCTTAACAGGTAGGAATGCATATGAATGTGTCTGAAAAGTAACAATCTGAAAAGGGAGGGGGATGAGAAAGGGGTCATAGCTCTAAGTTAATAACAAGAGCACATTTATCCAATATAAATAAAAATGTCAAAAAACATAGGCAGTAGATTACATAATAAATCAAGTTTTAACTATCAACTCACAAAACATAGATCTAAAAGCAATTAGTTTACCCTCTTGCCATTTTCTTAATGCCTTTTAGATAAAGTATGCAGGAGAGAGGAATGAAGAAGTCTGAGGGTAAGTGTCCTGGCTGCCCAAGGACCTTCCTTAAGAGTCAATCAATCTTAATGTTCAGAGGAGAGAAAGAAAAAATAATAGAATGGAACATTTTATCTTAATTATTACTGAAGCAATGTCAAAACCATGCATACATCAAAGGCTAGGATCCATGAAAACAAGAAACAAAGGAAAATGATTTATTAGAATGCAGGGGAAGGTGAGAGATTGTACATACACATATACATTTTATATGTATTATCATTTAACTGCATCCTTCCAACAAATAAAGGAAGTAAGTGGAAAAGGTGCACAAGATATTTTTCCTGTTTTTGCTTTGCATAGTGAAGTGTTTGAGTGATTTTTATCTAATGCTGTCTATCCAGGGAAGGTCCCTTCTCCCCACTCACCCATGGGGTCAGGCTCTAATCATGGGGCAGCAACACCCTGCCTGAGGTTGGATTCCTGGTAGCCAGGAGTCTGGATCCCTCTGCAAGCAGCCTCTCCAGGATACTCCTTCCTGACCCCATAGGACCAGGACACCTTCCTCTTGCTCACCCCATCCATGCCCATCAGGCTCAGCCCTACCTAATGGTTTGGAACTGAAATCTTTAGGGGATTCTTTAAGGAAAGAGAAGGGAAAAAAAACAGAGGAATAGAAGCTGAAGTGGGAACCATTTTAGAGGCTTGAAATTGCTCACAGAGTGTGTCGATCAGAAAGGAGTCGACGTGGGGGAAGGTCATTTACTTTAATAAATACTTTTGTAGGAGACTGCAAGAATACTTTTCTGCTTTCAGGAAAACTGTCATCTTAATACATTTACAATTACTTTATAATTCAGAGAAAAGTTTTAAGATCTTGTATGACAAATGCTAGTGACAAAGGCCACCCAACTGTGTTCTTCCACATCACTTCTACAGAAGAGGCTGGAAAAGTCAGGACTCAGGTGACATCCTTGGGGGTGGGCATGGTAAAGTGTCACTCATCTAGCCACTGAGTCATAAAACAGACACTTGCATAAAAGCTCTTATTTCCCTGATTAAAGGTGTGGGTGGTACTGTCCTTCTCCCTATGTTCCTTAACTAGGGAAGATTATAAGGAAAAGTACAGAAGGAACAATCCAGTCCCTGACTGTGGGGAAGTCCCACAGTGAAATGGCTGAGAGCCAGAAGCAACACCAGGAGACACCCATCCCAGATATTAGTGGATGGCTTTTAACAAATCCCTATTTGCTTAAAATGTCTGATTGTCAAGATTTTTCTGTTACTTGTGGAAAAAAATATTCCCCATGGATGCAGCTTGGTCTTTCTCCTTGAAAACAAAAAGCCAGAACTCTAAGCTTCATTTTATAAATGCCAATGCCAACAGCATATAAGAAAAGAGTTTCGGTAAGCTAAGGAATGTGAAAACTCAGCCAGCAGGAAATAAAAGTAAAAACTGCCACTTACTGATTGGTACAGGTCATGCAATATCCCTCTACCTGGATTCAATACACTCCCAGGCCAGTACTGCAAATATCCCATTTTGCATTTGAGGAAATGCTTGGATTGTATGTCTAGTCTAAGGCCATATAGCCAGTAAAGGGTGGACTCAGAATTTGAATACAGGTATCTGACTAACCAGCTCACAATGCCATTTCAGTTCAGGTGACAAAAACTGCAAGCCTGCTACTGTGATTTAGTGAGTGTCTGCTTGCAGTTCATAAAACCAAAAAGATGAAATAAAAGGACACATTATCGGCATGGCATCTCACCATTCCCATTAAATATGACATTTGTCTTAAAGATCATGTAGTTACCCTGTCAGCTAGCCTATGAAGACAGGCCAGGATGGCTGTTATGGACACATTCCAGAGAAAATTTTGAAAAATAAATATTTCGAAAGAACAAGTACTCAACCAACTCTACTCAAATTAAGAGGCATCCTCACCAAAGTTAGAATAAATTCAGGGAATGGAGTATAGCTCAGTGGTAGACTGCTTGCTTCACATGCTTAAGGTCCTGAGTTTAATAAAAAACAGAAGAAGTCAAAGAAGAGTCATTGTTTGAGAAAAAAATAATGAAGATTTTTCTACGTATCATTTGGAAATCCATATGCCTTGTTAAGCAGGAATATTGAACAAACACACCTTCAACTAAAACACAGGACTATTAACAGAAGACAGTGTACCTCTGCAAGAAAAAGGGGAGGGGACAGAGGCATTGTCATTCCACCCCTTTTAACCACAAAAAAAAAAAAAAAAAAAACTGTGGATATTGACAACTTGATGTGTTAAATTACTAATGAAAATGCACACACTGCATGTCACAGTCACCCCAAATCAGGATTCATGACAGCCTGGACTACCACCCATGGGGTGATATGATGAGTGAAGCTGAGCTTCAACAGGTTTGAATAATTCTAAGTTATACTTTTTTTTTTTCTTGAGAGGCCATAACATTTAAATATACTTTAAAAAAAAAAATCTCCTGTCTCTAGAGTATGCTCATATTTTTACCATAATGGTATTTGTTTCAAATTGCAATCAGCAACCACAAAACAATGCAAACACTCAATCTGGTGACACAGAAGAACTTTAGAATCAAATCCCCAGACCAAGTCTAGTTTACTGTGACCTTGCATTTTGCAGTTGACCCCAAGGGCCTGTTTTTCTTACCCATAAAAATAGATGATTAAAATCTACTAGTATTTTGTGATATTAAATAGAGATATTT